TCGGTTTTTCGACTGAGTTTATTCAGGAAATCAACAGTATTTGCTTTGCTTTCTTATGGCCTAGTCCGGTTTTGTCAACTCATAAAGCAAAGGTTGCTTGGATTGGTATATGTAAGCCGAAAGATGAAGTTGGTTTAGGCTTGAGAAATCTGACTGAAGCGAACAGAGTCTCTTGTTTAAAGCTAAATTGGCGCATCCTGTTAGCTGGATCATCTTTATGGGTCCAATGTATTTGGAAATATCTTATAAAGAAAAGTTCTTTCTGGATTATGAAGGAGAAAAGCAGTCTTGGGTCGTATATGTGGAAGAAATTACTACATCTAAGATCACTTGCCTCGCAACTAACAAAAAAGAAGGTAAACAGTGGTTTTACCTCGTCTTTTTGGTTTGAGAAATGATCTCAGTTGGGCAAACTGATCGAGTTAATGGGGGAAAGAGGATGCATTATTCTTGGTATTCCAATAAATATTATGGTTGAAAGAGTTGTTGATACGTACAGAGCAAGAAGAGACAAATATCCTATCTAGCAAAGTATAGAACATGAAATTCTGGCTTTAAGAAACCGAGGCCTCAATCAGCAGAAAGACATTTGTTTATGGAAAAGAGAGAATGGTGATTTCAAAACAGGTTTCCTCACTTCGGAAACATGGGACCTATAAGAGCTCATTCACCAAAGGTGATGCGGTATAAGGGAATTTGGTTTCCGGAGGCTACCCCTAAATTCTACTTTATATCTTGGCTTGCTGTTTATGAAAGATTATCAACTGGTGATAGGATTCTCCGTTAGAATCCTCATGCTATTTCTTCTTGATGGCTGTGTAATTCCGTAACAGATACGAGAGATCACTTGTTTTTTGAATGCTTATATTCTAAAGAAGTTTGGAGTGGAACCATTGCATATATCAATGATCTCAGGTGATACAGATATTGGTGAAGGGTTTACATGAGAGGGATTCAACTTTCTTATTGAGATATTGCTTTCAAGCTGTGCTATATGCAATATGGCATGAGAAGAATATAAGGAGGGTTGGTGAACCATCTCAGCCAGCGAGTTGTTTGATTGCAAAATTACAAGCTGGTTAGGAATAGAGTTAATTCTTTGAAAAGGAAATCTGGAAAAAAGTATGTGAAGACTATGGAAGTGTGGTTTGGAAGTAGATAACTTGGATTTTCTTGTAGTTTCAAAAATTTATCTATAATCATTGTGTAGGAAAGAAGCAGATGTTTTTGGTAACAAAGTTTTTTTCTGTTTGAATAAAATTTAAAATTCTTTCAAAAAATAAAGAACTCAAAAATCAAGATCAATAAATTGTTTTAACCAATTATTAAGAACATTCGGTTTGTGGTTTATTTTTTTTTATGAAAACCGTATCATATGTAGTTACAACATAACATCTACTTCTTCTTCTTAAACATGTTGCATATTTTATACCCAAATCTCTATTATATTCTCAAACACAACATCAACGAAACACCCGATCGTAAGTTCATAAGAAGACATAGCATGGTATAATATAATTATTACAACAACATCATTTTATATAGTTTTAGATAGATTTTTATGTATTCAAAATTCAAAATCTATTATTTAAAATATAGAACATATCTTTGAAACAAATATATCCTTAAATATGTGCATTTTTTAATTCTATACAAGCTTCCATTTATACCAAATATTTGATATTAATAACAATATCAAAGATAAAATATTACAATATTTCAAATTTATGGTATAATCACAGGTTGGAAAGAATATTCAGTATTCGATAATTTTGATAATATCTTATATTTTCGATTTTTTTTTGTTCTGAACATCAAAACTAAATTAAGACTACTAATATGTATTTAATACATAACAAACCTCATATACTATTTAATAAAAATCTATAACTATAAATAAAAAGCAATCCAGGCAAGCGCACAAATCACTATAAACAGAGTATAATTGCAAAATTGGATGAACTATACCAAACCAAAATAAATAATCTTATATTCATAAATAACCAAACTATTACTATATTTTTTGAACCGAAAACGAAAATCCATAGCCTTCCATGCGTTGTCCATCCAGATAATATACCATATGCTGAAAAATCACTTATTGTCCACATAAGTACTGCTCCTAGTTGAGAGTTTTCTTTGCACGAAACATCGTATGTATCTGCACCTTGAGCCCATAGTTGTTGTAACTCACATATTAGTGGCTGAAGAAACACATCAAGTTATCTCTTAGGATGCTCTGGCCTAGGAACGAGAATGGAGAGAAACAAAAACTCTCGACGCAAGCACAAGTTTGGCGGTAAGTTGTATGGTGTAAGAATGACTGGCCATAGAGAATACTGTCTTCCATGCTTGCCAAATGGGGTGAAACCATTGGTACATAATCCAAGGTAGATATTTCTTCTCTCAGACGCAAATTATGTTGATTGGAAATGCTTCCATGCTTTTGCATATGAAGGATGTCTAATCTCACCATATGTCGAATGCTCTGCATGCCATCTCATTGGTTGGGATGTGCGTTCAGATTGAGACAACCTCTTCAACCTTTCTGCCAGAGGCAAATATCACATCTTTTTATATGGCACTGAAACTCTTCCACTCGTATCTCTATAACGAGCCTTCCCACAAAATTTGCATGTAACCCGGTTCTCATCCGTCCTCCAAAATATCATGCAGTTATCGAAGCATACATCTATTACCTGATACGGTAAACCAAGACCAGCTATGAGTTTCTGAACCTCGTAATATGAACCCGGGGATAGATTATGCTCTGGTAGAATACCTTTTACAAAATCAGCAATCGCATCCACACATTCTTCAGCCAAACTATAAGCATTTTCAATGTCCATCAGTCTTGTTCCAGATGATAAAGGTGAATGACCATCTCTGCAACCTTGGTACAAAGGTTGTTTTTTTTTGCATCCAACATATCAAAAAATCTCCTAACTTCTGCATTGAGTAATTCTTCCCCTCTAAAATGATCATTTATCATATGCTCTGTACCTACATTAAAATCTACATCCGTTCTAATTGGTTCTTCTAACCTATCCACTGTCTGAGGTTCGCTAGTACTACCATATTCATAATCAGTTTTCCCGTGATGATACCAAATTTTGTAACTTCATGTAAACCCGTTCAAATATAGATGAGTCCAACATCCCACTATTTTATAACTTTTCTATTTTTACAAGTAGAACAAGAACATCTTAACATACTCGTTTTTGCTTCAGGTTGTCTTGAACTACCGCCATGAATTCCCTAATACCTTTTAGGTATTCTTCCGTAAGTAATTTCGTGTCAGGATCCAAATGAGGTTGATCCATCCACGAATGAAAATAATTTGAAGAACACATGTTTTTTATGAACCAAATTCGTGTGTAAATAGTAAGTGAGAGGATGAGAATATTGAGTGAATGAAAGAGGATGAGGGGTGCTTGTATTTATAGATGAAATGTTGCCGACAATTCCGATGAAATTCCGAGGGAATATAATATTCGTTGGAATTTCCTCGGAATATTTAAAATTTCCCAACGGCTATACAACGGTTATAAATATCCGTCAGAATTTCCTCTGAATATTCCGACGAAATTCCGACAGAAAATAATATTCGTCGGAATTTTTAAACTTTCCCAACGGCTCGATACCGACTATAATTAACCCTCGGAATGTCGTTGGTATATTCTGACGGAAGGTTTTTTCTTTGAAATAACGTCGGATTATACTGACGTATTCATTTTTCCTCAGAATTTTGTCAAAAAATTCCGACGAAATTCCGAGAAAACATAAAAATTGCGTTCCTCAGAATTTCGTCGAAATTGCATCGGTATATTTCGAGGATATTTCTTTTCGTCGGAATATGCCATGTTTTCTTGTAGTGCGGAACCAAACCCAAAAATACAATCTAAGGAATCAAAGTTTATAAAATATCATCAAATCATCAAATTTTAGTTTAATAATTATAAAATAAAAGTATAAGTAATACCCCACAACTGTGCGGATCATAATCTAGTTATATGCTTAGTTAGTCAGTGTTGTGAATATTTATAGATGCTTTCTTTGTCTTTACATTACAGATTTAGCATAGTTCACCAACAGCGCCAGCGGTATATACGATCTTGCTACAAGTACAATCACATGGCCTAAGCCATTATCTGCTTCCTTCTTGAGGAGCTTCTGGTTTGTACCAGGTATGCGTAAGTCTTGGTCTGAAGAATGGTTTCAACTTAGGGTCTAGTCTTTAAAAAGACTGAGCAGCTACATAATGGTTTCTCTTTTGTTTTGCTACTTTGTGGCTTTGATTCTAGTAACGAGTTTCTTCAAAGCACTTTGATGCTTGTATGCTTTTATTGATGCGGGTTTATCATATGTTTTTGTAAGAAAATAAGCTTTTTGTGTAATGGTGCATTCCCGAATTATATATATGCTTGATTAGTCGGGACCCCTGTTCGTTTCATTGTCGCTGCTTTCAGTGGCAGCGTTTAAAAACATACGGTGACAGACACACAAAAAAAAGAGAATGGAAATTTAACAGAGCCACCGATTGATTGCTGGAGATATAAAAGACGTGACGCCTGTGACGCTCATATTTTCCGCGTCAGCGTCGGTGTCGATTTTGTTCGTGGTTAGCTGCCGCAGCGGCGGGAAAACAGATCACCGGTGTTGTATGTTGCTGGATCAAAGGCTTAATTACCTGACGCTGCGGCTGGAAGCGCGATGAAGAAACGAACAGGGGTGGGGTTATCAATGTTAATAGAGACTTTTCTTTGTCTTCAGATTTAGCATAGTTGGCGAACGAAGTTTATGTTTTGTTGAACACTAAAACTAATAGAAAACAAGACCATGGTCCATTCTAGCAAACTCTTAGAATTATCTAGTCGACGAACGCTTAAACCATGTGCTTTTTCAGTCACGGGCCTAGGCTCACAAATATATTTCTCGGCCCATTAACATTTTCTATTCCAGTTCAGAACCAAACCCTAGTTCACATCACTACACATCAGCTTCAAACAAAATTGAGAATGATCTGAACAGACGACAACAATGTCTAGAGTTCGGTATGATTGGTCCAGACTCTGTACCGATCTTCTGAGATCAATCCTCGAAAACTTGACTACTAACGATTTTCATCGGGCAAGAACCGTCTGCTCAAGCTGGTACTCTGTCTCCACAACATGTGCGCGACCTCTGTATCCATGGCGAATCCTATTACGTAAGTCTTCTACTCTGTTATTCGATCCTGAACAAGACAAAACTCTCGAAACCGAACATCCAGGAACCGACTTCTCGAATAGCTGTGTCGTGGCTAGTTGTAGCAACTGGCTCTTTATCATTGAGCCTCGTCTCAGTTTGTATCTTTTAAATGTGTTTACTTGCGAGAGAATCAATCTTCCATCGTTGGAGTCATTGCTTCTAGGTCAAGCTTGCTTTGTTAGTAACACAACCTCTTCGAATATATCTGCTTGTCTTTGGATGAACGAGAGAACAGGGGACTATGTTGTGGCTTGGAGTTACAAAGAACATTACTTGTTCTTACACAAGAAAGGTGATGATTCCTGGTGTAACCTTAAAGGCATACGGTGTAGGTCCATGGCGTATAAGGACTACAAGCTTTATGTGTTTACATCTGATGACTCCATCAAGGTTCTTGATTTGTCTGGAGATTTGATTAATGAGATTGTAGACGGGAATCCATATGCTAATCATAGGTTTCACTTTGTTTTGCAACGTGGGGAAAACGTGTGGAAGAAGAAAGTAGCGGTTACGAACTCGGGAGAGGTCTTGATTGTTATGAGCTTAAAAGGGTTACAAGAGAAACGTTTGTTTTACATTTTTAAGATGGATGTTGAAAGTGGTAAATGGGAAAGAGTAGATACTCTTGGAGGTGAGGTGTTGATATTTGGACATGGAGTCACAGTAAGATCTCCGATCAAAGAGATTAACGGTGAGGGAATCAAGAGTGATTCAATCTGTTTCATTGATTATGATCTTTGGCCAGGTGCAGAATATTTTAATCCCGGGAGGCAAATTAAATGCGGTATCTTCGATCTTGCCACAAGTACAATCACATGGCCTATAACATCAGATGCTTCAGTCTTAAATAGCTTCTGGTTTGTTCCGGGGTATGCTTAAAGTCCTAATCTGAAGAAGGGTTTCAACTTAGAGTCTAGTCTTAAAAAGACTTATCAGCTGAAGAATGACATCTGCTTTGTGGATTTGTTGAATCACTTCGATAGGGTTTTACTGATTGTCTTTGTATTTTCGGGTTTATCATATATGCTTTTGTAAGGAAATATGCGGCTTAGATATTGGTTGCAAGAAAACTTTATTTAAAAAAAAACTACCAAACTCAATCCCAATCAAGCTAGAGGAAGTTTAAAAAAAAAAAAAATTTCAAATACGTTTTGTTGGATCTTAAAACCATGAACTTTTGAAAAAGTTCAAACAACACAGTACTGTTGGTGAAACTTGGAATTATATGATGATCACTTGTGCAGTTTTGGCTTTGGCGAGAACCGAAATTATTTGAATAGTGGCATAGACTTAGAATATATGACAAGAGATCATATTCCTGATGATCTGAATTGATTATAACGGAAATTATGTTTTCTTACAAGTCTAAAATTATGCTATCATCCTTAGAAAATTTGACAAGAGATCTTATTCCTTATGATATGAATTGATAATCACGGAAATTATGTTTGTTTTTTTTTTTAAAGTCTAAAATTATGCTATTGTGACGATGACAAATATTACATGGTCGATTTTACAACCGATAATTCTACTATTTTATAAAAATACTATTTTTTTTTCTTTTGTAGAGAATGAGAATACAGTTCTACTATTCTACCATTTTATGAGAATACAATTGTACTATCGGACAATTATGTTTTATGATATTAATTTAACGTGTCTTCATAATATATGTGAACAGATAAAAATTATTATCTTTGTGGAACAGGAAGGAATAGTCAATTTCACACAAAATAAATTAATTGGATAATTATAATAAAATACTAATAGTTTTTGGTTTAGATATATCCATGCAAGCGTATCATCAACCAATGGTCAGAGTTCATTTGCACATGATCTCTTTTTCCAGTTTTACATAAGAAATTAGGGTCTTATATTATAAAAAACACATAATTTAAGGTCTTATTTATCAAAATTTATAATAGTAGTATGCAAAAATTGTAAAGAAAAATCTTACCTAGCACTAAGCCCAAATATATTATAAGCAGGGCCTGTTCAGAACCAAACCCTAATTTACATCACCACGTTTATAAGCTTCAAACAAATTAAGACTCATTTGAAGAGAGGACAATGTCTGGAGTTGGGTATGATGATTGGTCCAAACTCAGTTCAGATCTTTTGAGATCAATTCTCGAAAGCTTGACCACTAAAGATTTTCATCGGGCAAGAAGTGTATGCTCGAGCTGGTATTCTGTCTCTAAAACATGCACGCGACCTCTGTATCCATGGCGAGTTCTACTCCGTAAGTCTTCAACTTTGATATTTGATCCCAAACAAGACGAAACTTTTGAAATCGAACATCCAGGAATTGACTTTTCTGAAAGCGGTGTCATCGCTAGTTATAGCAATTGGCTCTTGATCATTGATTCTCGTATAGATTTGTTGTATCTTCTGAATGTGTTTACTTGCGAGAGAATCAATCTTCCATCAATGGGGTTGTCGTTGCTTCTTGCTGAAGCTACTTTCCAAGCTATCTCGGCTTGTCTTTGGATGAACGAGAGGACAGGGGAGTATGCTGTCGCCTTGAGTTACATGAAACACGACTTGTTGTTCTCATACAAGAAAGAAGATGACACGTGGCGTAAGCATGAAGGCACACGGTGTAGATCTATGTTTTATGAGAAGAACAAGCTTTATGTGCTTACATGTGATGATTACGTCAAGATTCTTGATTTGTCTGGAGATCATTTGGTTAATCATGAGAACGTGGAAGGGAACCCATATCGTAACCATAGGTTTCACTTTGTTTCTGGGGAGGAACATGTGTGGACAAAGAAAATAGCGGTTACGAACTCAGGAGAGGTTTTGATCGTTCTGATGAGCTCAAAAGGGTTACAAGGCCGGAAACGTTTGTTTTACATGTTTAAGATGAACTTTGAAAGTGGTAAATGGGAAAGAGTTTATTCTGTTGGAGGCGAGATGTTGATGCTTGGTCATGGAGTCACAGTAAGATCTCCAATCAAAGAGATTAACAGTACTGATGAGGGAATCAAGAGTGATTCAATCTGTTTCATTGATGATCTTTGGCCATCTGCAGATTATTTTAATCCCAGGAGGCAAATTAATAGTGGTATATTCGATCCCAAGAGGCAAATTATTTTAATCACATGGCCTAAAACATCAGATGCTTCGGTCTTGAAGAGCATCTGGTTTGTTCCAGGATATGCTTAAGTCTTGGTCTGAAGAACGGTCTTTAAGAGACTCAAAGCTTCTTTCTCTTTGCTACTTTGTCGCTTTGATTATAGTAACAACTTTGTTCAAGCATTTTGATGATTGTAAGGCTTTGATTGATTAACTTTATTTTAACAACTCGAGTTTCGGTTTCGAAGATTGTTAGTCTGTTAGGCCCATATAACCATCCTGAAAGCCCAAGTATTTTTTTTATAAATCCGAATCCCAACTCATTAGTTCTTGTTTCCCTAAAAATTAGAGAGAGAGAGAGTGAGAGAGAGAAGAAGTTGAAAAACTCTATGGAGAGGCTGAGCCACCGCCGGAGCTCGCCACGACCACAAGACGCCGTGACTACGCCAAGCTCATCACCACCATCAACCGCAGCCCTAGGTAACCAGAAACCGCCTTGTGTTTGAGTTAATTTCGGGTCGTTTATTAAATCAAGCATAATTTCTTAATCGTTAAGAATTTAGTGCATTCAAGGCCACCATCATGTTTCTCTGGTTAAGACGAAGCCATAGCCGCCAACCATGACTTAATCGGAGTCCGGACGAAGCCGCACGCGCCGCCTGAAATTTTGCCGTGTATGCGGGTATGTTTTAGCCTCTGCTGAAACGCCGGACCGCCACAATACTGCTGCTGCTCCGCCGCCTGACCGTTGTCTCGCCGCCGCCGGTAAGTCTCTGTCATCGCCGCCGGTCACCATCGCAGGTGACTCGGCCAACTCGGTAAACCAATTGGTTGACTGGTTTGACCCGGTTTAAATTAATTGTGATTAGTTAGAGTAAACTGTATGGTTATAATCAATTAGAAATCAGTTAGGGTTAAACCGGTTAATTTAATTAATTGATTTTGGTTAGAGTAAACCGGATGGTCTAATTGAAATTGAATCCGGTTGAGGAAAACCGGCTGGTTCAATTCGATCTCAATCTGGTCAAGAGTTGACCGGCTTGGGTCAGAGTTGACCAGGTTGACTTTTGACTAGTGGGTTGATTTTTCCGTAGACACTCGTTATTCGAAGGGAATTCTGACTTGAAATTTCAATCTGATTTCAGATTTGGGATATATTTGAGCAGATGGAGTTCATAGATACCACTTTTCTCATTTGCTAAGATGAGGGTCTACTCCCGAACTTTTCGTACACGGTTAAGACATCGAATAAGTATATAATTATCATGTGTTACGTCTCTGTGAAGTAAGTATGTTTTAGGGTCTGATTGGTGTCTGCTTGTTTAGGTTTAGAATTCTTTTCTTAAACTGGAATTAGGGTGTCAGATGGTTCAACATTGATTGCTTCGCTTAATATGAATCATGTTGTTAGAAATGTTTGGCCGAATACAGAGACATACTTATATGTGCCGGATTATATGAGCGGTTACGGCCAGCTATAGTCGGTCGGCTGGACCGTAACCTGGAAGCATCGACAAATCGTCTACGGGTGGTGTCCAAGCACTATCTCGAGTTGTTGTAACCTAGGTGTGGACAGTGTTTTTGGCCTGTGAGTGGGCGGTGAGTCTGCACCTCGCTAGGACCATTGTTTGATGTTTAGGTACTCTAGATACTGTGTTTTACATGCATTAGAATTATTCTATATTTATTCGAAGTGCTATGTCCGGGTCAACAGACTTCAGGGTAGCATTCTATACCTCACTGAGTGACTCCCTCGTCGCTCACCCCTCTTTTCTTCCCATTTCAGATGAGACAAACAATCATGTGATATTTGGACGGACTTGGTGCTACTGGGCTTTTTAATCGAATTTTATTTGGGCTTATGGTGAGTGTAGCGGGTATATGGAATTTTATGTTACGAGATATTATTGGTGGCCCGTCGTCTTTAGAGAGAGGGGGACATGTGTCACATTGTTATTTGATGACGTGTCGGGGATGACACGCTGTCCTCTAGGTAAGAGGTGACAGGCGTTACATTTTTTTGGTATCAGAGTGGGTTCCGTCCTGGTTCTGTCCCGGGATGGCAGCTAGGGGATACAATTTTCAACGTTTTCAAAAAGGAATTATATATATAAAGGACATTTGAAAATTATTTTAGCACCATTCTGTCCAGTAACCACTAACCTCATTTGTCTCTTTTTATGACGATAAGTAAAATCATCATCATTCGTCTTTTGGTTAACAGAGGTCTATCAGATGTTCAGTAGAGATGTGTTGTTGCAGTTTGTCAGAATTCTTAGAGGTTTATCTGTTTCTTCATTCCTTATTCATGTGTTGTACATGAGTGGATATGTGACGTTTTTGCCATCATCCAATTTCAATCCATCGCTCCACGAGTTTCTGATGTATGGGTTTATGTGATGTGAGTTTTGAGCCATGGGTTGGCGTGTGCTGTTGTTGTGTACGAGTGTATTGACTATTTTGGAGATATGTTTTGTTTGTAAACTCGTGGAGATTGCTTTTGAAATTAGGCTGCATCATCTTGCGTTGTGGTTATATTGGAGTTACATTTGGCAATATTGCCGGTTTTTGGTTGTGTTGAACCGTTTCAGAGATGTGTCAGCTCGAAAAGTTGGCATAAGTTCTGGAGAGCTATTTATGTTCATCGTGTTTTACCAGTTATATTTGGAGGGTTCAAGATATTCAAAGATCCGTTAGAAATGGAGCTAACTTTTACGGTGCCAGTTTTAAGATAGATTGATTATCATAATATCAAGAAGTATTAAGTTGCTGAGGGCAATGGTTTATATTCCTGGAAGTGATGAGAGTTTTATTGCTTCCACGCTTCATGTTGAGGAGTTATTGGATAGAAGAGCAAATCAATTTTAGGAGAACATTTTAACGGTTAAGTATGATGGACAAAATGAACTGCATGCTCTGCATGCAATGGTTTATAAATGTGTCCTCTATTAAGTTTGAATATAAGATACCATCTGTTTCACGAATTCCATACAGATTAGTGCCAGTAGGGATGACCGAGATGAAGAGACAGAGCAACATATATTTGCTAAGTTAAGCAAGTGTTGCTTCTGGTAGAGGAGGATTGGATATTTGACTCACGTGGTTTCAGAAGCAGAATTTGTTACAAATCCAAAAGAAATTATTGCAGTCCTAGAGTGGTCGTCGACACTTAAGAGTGCTACTACAGTGATATGTAGTTTTTGCGGGATACTACAGGAGGGATCCCTGTGGTGTTCTGAGAGTATTTGGTTAAGTGTGTGATCATTTTTATCGAAAATATCCTATTTTATTCTTGGAGGAGAGAAGAGCATGCAGAGCATTTGCGGATTGTATTGGGTAATCTGAGAGAGCACCATATATTTGCTAAGTTAAGCAAGTATTGCTTCTGGTAGAGGATGATTGGATATTTGAGTCACGTGGTTTCAGAAGCAGAATTTGTTGTAGATCCAGAAACAATTATTGCAGTTCTAGAGGGGTCGTCAACACTTAAGAGTGCTACTATTGAGATCCGTAGTTTTTGCGGGATACTACAGGAGGGATCCCTGTGGTGTTCTGAGAGTATTTGGTTAAATGTGTGATCGTTTTCATCGAAGATATCCTAGTTTATTCTTGGAGGAGAGAAGAGCATGCAGAGCATTTGCGGATGTATTGGGTAATCTGAGAGAACATCATATATTTGCTAAGTTAAGCAAGTGTTGCTTCTGGTAGAGGAGGATTGGATATTTGAGTCACGTGGTTTCATAAGCAGAATTTGTTGTAGATCCAGAAACAGTTATTGCAGTCCTAGAGTGGTCGTCGACACTTAAGAGTGCTACTACTGAGATCTGTAGTTTTTACGGGATACTACAGGAGGTTCGTCTTTTTAGAAGGTTGACTTAGATCCAAAATACCCTCGGATTTCTATAGCTGGAAAATATGTACAAACTACAGTTTCACATATAAGATGGATATTATGAGTTGGAAATAATATTATTGGGTTGAAGAATTTACAGATAGCATTCATGGAACTTAAAAATAAATTCTTTTGTGAGCATTTGGATAAGTGCATGGTTGTGTTCATCGATGGCACCCTGGATATTATTAGAGTAGAGAGAAGTAAAATGAACATAGGCGGATTTTGTATTTAATACAAGAAGATCAGATCATTGTCTAAGCGAGTCATATGAAGAATATGAATATGAAGCATTTTGGAATGGAAGTTAGAGATTTTTGGAGTGTTCACCAAAAAAGGCAATCTCTAACTTCCATTCCAAAATAAACAAAAATTAAATATATGATATCAGAATAAAAATATTACCTTAAATTTGTATCATAATATTAAAATAAGTTAATATATGAAATATATATTAAATAATAATAAGTAAATATAAAATATGAAAATATAAATATTATATTAAACTTATATCCTAATATTAGAATAAGTAATTATACAATATAAGTAATAAAAGTATTATATTAAACATCTATCATTATATTAAAATAAGTAAATATACAATATAAGAAAAATGTATATTGAAAAAATAATAAGTAAATATAAAATTTTATATATAGAAATATTAAATTAAACATCTATCGTAATATTACCACTTGATCTAAAAAAACAAAATTAGAATAAGTAAATCTTTCATATACGGAACAATAAATAATGGGTAAATATACTATTTAATAAATGAAAAATACATTAAACATCTATCTAAAAATTTATAATATTTACATGTTATTTTTAAAAATATTTTATAAGTAAATATTCAATTTAAAATGTAATAAACAATATAAGAAAAAGAAATATTATATTAAATATATCGTAATATTATCATTTGATATAACAAGAAAATTATAATAAGTGAATATATAATATAAAAAAATAAGTAAATATAAATTATAAGAAATCAAAAAATAAATTAAACATCTATCTGAAAAAATTTAAAGTAAAATAAATAATTAATAAATATTAAATAGAAAAATAAAAATATTTCATTAAACATCTATCGTAGTATATAGGATAAGTAAATATATAATATAAGAAAAAAATAATAAGTAAATAGACAAAATGAAAAATAGAAATATTACATTAAACATCTATTGTAATA